GGCTATATATTAACATTAATCTAAGGATCTGTATTTAACCATTGCTGATTTGTGGCTAAACTGAGAGACAGTAGAGATCGAAATAATTTTAACTAGAGTTCCATGACTTAATCATGTTGCAGAAAAACATAGGCAATTGTGATCAGATAATATCAGAAAAACTATTTTTAGAGAATCTAGATAAATATGAAGTTTACTTAGATATAAATCATGAACAGAAATATGTGCAGGGCCTTAAATTACTGTGCTGTTAAATACAAGCTGAATGTTAACAGTTTGCTTCAGGAGGCCTGATTTAGAGTTCTGAAGTGTCTTACACAGAAACTAATTTTTACAATGGTATAATAAGTTGAACAGATGCTTCAGCAGTCAAAAGAGATGCGAATTGTTTTTCGAGAAGAAATGTCCTTGCTTGTCCTAAAACAAGGTGTATTCTAAGATTTTAAATGTATATTTAAGTGTACTTTGAAAATACCTAACACTTTTAACTTGTGAAAGGATTTGGTATCTTAATTTTTGGTTTTCAATAAGTATTTCTATATGTGTTTGAGTTGTGAAAGAAAATATTATACATTGTGTTTACTTAACTTGTTTCATGTTTTATTTTCCAGACCTTAGTAAATTTGTTATCTGCGCGAGACAGCAATGTCCTTTTGGGTGCCCTCCTTCCTCTGAGTAGCCTGGCAGAAAGGTAGGTTCAAATTCATGTGCCGTAGTTAACAATAAGCTTTTTAATGTTTTCTCTTGACACAATATTGAAACTGCTATTTATGCAAAAGACTTTTTTTTTTTTTCTAAAATGAGTCTTTGTTTCGTGGAGATCTATGAAATGTTCTTAATTTTCTACTGAAGCATTAGAAACTAAGTAGAAACTTTGATCTTCACAGTAGACTTCTTGCTCATGTGGTGAACTCTGCATGACTGGAGTCATAGGATGTCTCTTTGAGATCCTTATGCAGGATTCTGCAGGATTCCTACTGATTTCCTCCATATAAAACTCTTGTTCTGAGGTTAATCTAATAGTGCCTCACAATAATCAGGTATAATATCTTTCAGTGTGGTAAATAATAAAATCATACACTCAAATCCATGTATGTGTACCCTCCTTTCATGAATTAGTGTTTAAATAAAGATAACACTTTTATCCTGATGTGGAAGGGTAAAAAAAAAAAAGAAAGATAGAGCATCTTTCATCTGTAATAGTTCTATAGGAAAAAAATAATTCCTTTACATTATCGTTCTGTTGTCTTCCAGATTTCCCAAAATTCTTGCATTCTGATCCAGTTTAATTTTTTAATGTCCATATTAATTTAAATGATGTTATATATACATTTTCAACTTCCATTTAAGTTTCTTCACTGAATTAAATTTGGACTAGGCAAGAAGGTGTTTGGAGTATATTTATAAATGTTCGTGGAAATTGTGGTTGTTTCTAAAAATGTACATTTGTGTCTTTACTTTTATGCATTTACATTTACTTTTTTTGTCCTGGTAAAATTGGAAATTTTTGAACTGTTACTCTTGACCCAGCATATATTTGTGGCTTTAAGTGTTTGTGTGCACAATATGATATTATTAAGATAAAAAAATTGATAAAAAATAATTAATCAAATGTATAAGGAGGGAAACTAAACAGCAATGCATGTTTTTCGTATAGTTTCATCTGATATAAATGCCAGGAATAATCATTTGCCGTCCAGAATGTAGGGAGAAGATAAGTGAGCTCACCATTGTTGAGAACTTGCATGTGGTATTACGTGAATACGATTTTCTCTCTAAAAGGTGAGATTTGGTTTGTCGATTAATTGTGTCAAAATATATTTTGATTTTTTCATTTAGGCACACATTTATTTAGAGGAATTAGCTAATGTGCCACTTTAATTTACCCAGGACACTGAAATATCTGTGTATTTTCAGTCAGATATTGATATAACAAAATCTTTTCCAGTAGTTCCACTGTAAGCCATCTGCTATCTCTCCACTAGTGGCCTCCAGTGCAGTGCAAATGAGTTGCAATGTTACAATAAAGTGATAGCAGTCACTTTTCTTGCTTCATCTCCTCTTTGCTGAACTCTGACAGTCCCTGGGATGCCCAATATAAACTAGTAAAATTGCTGTACATGCTGCAGTTTATGCCAGAGGCTAGGTCAGACCCCACATCCTTTTGTTCAGAAAATCGTAAAGGTTCCTTCAACTCTTTAACTGTCCTTTCATCTCAGCTAAGACTGCTAGCTGAGCATCATATAGCTGTATTTCAGTAAAAGACCAAAAGACTTTTAAATTTGATAATATGTCACTTACCACATTTAAAATTTTGAGGTTTTTAAAATTTCATGCTTTAGTTACTTTGCACATATAAATTATTTTTATATGACTAAGGATAAAAAAATTGAATATATCAAAAGATTTTAGTTTGTGGGTTTGAAAATTATTTAGATTATATGTAAACCAAAAGTTGTATATAAAACTAGAATTTGAATGTACACAGGAAGCTAATGAAGTTCATTGTTAGTTAATGATAATTTTAAATTCAGATATGAACCTGAATTCATATGTTTCATCAAACACACGTGCACCTTTCTTGCTTTAAATAAAAATGGATATCCTTAAGCGTATTTTCTGTGGGAATTCCACCTTAACTGAAGTGAAATTAATGAAAATCTTGTATAAGTCCTTTAAAGGATATATCAAATCACTTTTCTAAACATAATGTTCAAACCATAGTAGAGAAGAATCATGCTTATTTGTGTTATCCGTGGAACTAGGTTATGCGTGTTCCACAAATGGACTTTACAAGTTCATGGAGTCAGTGCTGTTTGCAGTTAATGCCATTAACAAGAAGGTGGTACCATGGATGGCTGCAGTCCACCTGGCCACCTCCCATGCTGCCTGTGTATGCCTGGTTGCCTATGCTGACAGTCTTTTTTTTTTTTTTTTTAGAAACCAATGACTTTAACCAATTTGCAGTGACTTTAAGCGTTTTTCTTCAACTTCTTTTTTTCTATAGGAGGTCTCTGTTCTTTCTTAAACGTTTAATGTAATTTTTTTCACTTAGATATCTGACAATACAAAGTAATTGTGGAGTTAAAATTTCTTGCTTATTTTGTTTTTTTAGGCTCACAGCAGAGTTGCTGAGGGAAACTGAGAGGGGTAATAGAGAGGGAATTGAGAAGGAAGAGATAGGGAATTGAGAGGAAATAAAGGGGAAATTCAGGGAAATAGAGAGGGAACAGTCAGGAAATAGAGGGGGAATGGAAGGGGAATAGAAGGGACTTAGAGGGGGTATAGATAGGGAGTTGAGAGGAAATAAAGGGGAAATAGAGAGGGAACAGAGGGGGAATTGAGAGGGAACGGAAAGGGAATTGAGGGGGAATAGAGGGGGAATAGAGGGGAAATAGGGAGAAGATGAGGAATTGAGAGGGAAGAAAGGGAAAAGAGAGAGGGAATAGAAAGAGAACAGAGGGGAAAGAGAGGGGGAATTGAGAGGGAAGAGATAGGGAACTGAGAGGAAATAAAGGGGAAATTCAGGGGGAATAGAGAGGGAACAGATGGGAAATAGGGGGGAATGGAGAGGGAATGGAGAGGGAACAGATGGGAAACAGAGAGAACTGAGAGAGAATGGAGGGGGAATAGAGGGGTAATTGAGAGGAAATAATGCCTCAGACCCTGCATCCCTGGGCACGAGGGCAACTGGAGTTTGACCGGATCTCAGCGCCCTGGACGAGCGTCTACCCACGAGCACGAGCCCGTGGCTCCATCCAGCCCCCTTTTCCCTCCAGGGAGTCCCAAACCCTCCCCCAGCTCCCCTGCGTCTGTCCCACGGCCCAGCCCAGCTCCAGGCCTGGCAGAGCTGCAAACAACCCCCGGGCTCCTGAAGCCCCAAACCAATGCTCAGGCTCACCCATGGGGACCCCCGCCCCTCTCAGCACAGCCCAGCCCCACAGCTCTGGGACCCCACCGTCACCCGGCCCTTCGCCCTTGCCTCTCCACCCTTCCCAGCGCACACGGCAAGGACCAGCCCGGAGTGGGAAAAAGAGCCCTTGCCCAGGGAGGAAATCCACGCTGGCAGGAGAAGGGAAACGTGTCCCTCTGACTCACCCCACCCCACGGTCGCCCCGCCGGGCCCCACTCACGCCGGGGACGATCTCCTGAAGCTGTACCTGCCGCGTGCGGCTCCCGGGGGAGATCCCGGCACCATCTGCAGGCCCGGCGGGACCGAGCGGGGCGGGACAGGGACGGGACGGGACGGGACGGGAGCGGGGCGGAGCCACGCCGGCGGGCCTCGCGCCACGGCCGGGGCTGCCCGCGCCGGTGCCTGCCGCCGCCCGCGAACCTCCCGCCCGCGCCCGTCGCCGCCGAGCTCCCCACCCTGCCTCCCGAGCGCCACGCTTCGTCCCCACGGCCGGAGGCGCCGCGGCGAGACGGGCTGCGAGCGCGGGGTGCGGCTCGGGGACGGGGCGGAGGTCAGGCAATAGGATAGATGCCTCTCTGAGGCGGGGGGGAGGCCTCGTGCCGCCATCTTTGTGTGGCTCTCGAGACATTCCGGTCACGGCAGCACCGTCTTTGGAGCACTGGGGGTCAGAGCGGCGCCGTCCTTAGGAGCACCAGTCCGGGTAAGCCCCATTCCGCACCCCGGTAAAAATCCAGTCCGGGTTTTCCCCCATTCCGTACTCCGGGAAAAATCCAGTCCGGGTTTTCCCCCATTCCGTACTCCGGAAAAATCCAGTCCGGGTTTTCCCCCATTCCGTACTCCAGGAGAAATCCAGTCCGGGTTTTCCCCATTCCGTACTTGGGAAAAATCCAGTCCGGGTTTTCCCCCATTCCGTACTTGGGAAAAATCCAGTCCGGGTTTTCCCCCATTCCGTACTTCAGGGGAAATCCAGTCCGGGTTTTCCCCCATTCCGTACTCTGGGAAAAATCCAGTCCGGGTTTTCCCCCATTCCGTACTCTGGGAAAAATCCAGTCCGGGTTTTCCCCCATTCCGTATTCCGGCCGAAATCCAATTCGGGCTTTCCCCCATTCCCCGCCCCCCCCCCCCTCATCCGCCGTCGCTCCCGGTGTTCCCAGAGGACGCCGCGGGACCGGCTGTACCCAGAGCTGTGCGGGGTCCCGCGGGAGGGGTTGGGGTGCTGCGATGGCGGGTCGGGGCTCGGCTCGGCCCCCGGGGGTGGCAGGGCTCGCTGTGGAGCCGTGCAGGGGCTCAAAACCCGGACGAGCCCTCCTTTTGGCTCCCGCCCAGCTGGTCCCCCCAGCACTCACCCATGTTCATCCCAAGGGACACTCCGAGCCCCGCCAGGACGGGACAGCAGGTGCCTCCGCGGCACCCGGGCACGACAGGGAGGCAAATGGCCACGGGCTCTTCCTCGCTGCCTGCCTTGGGGAGCCAGCAGGCAATCCCAGGCTGGCCGTGCCCACAGGCAGCGCCAGGATTTTTCTGGGCGTTCCGAGAGGCTGTGGCAGCCCCGCAGCCAGCGGGGAGGGCTCTCCGGGGAGGCAAAAGGACGTGGAGATGCTGGGGGTTGATCCCTAACTTAGAGCATCAATTTCCCCCAAAAGTACAGCACTGACTAACGTTATATCATTGTCTTTGCCTTGTAAGTCATTCACAGGCACTTGTTTTTTTCTTAAATCACGTTCTGGATTTGAGTTTATGATAGTGCTGTGCTACAAACCCAAGATTCTTTTTAAAAAGCCATAGGATTTGGCTTCGGAGCTGGAAATAAAGATCATATATCATAAGTAACAGAATTTGTCCCCAAACAAAATCTTAAATATTGAAAATCCTGCTCTCACACCAGTTTCTTTTTTATTTGATCATTTTAAACGCACCTCCAGGTTATTACCATATTTTTCCAACTGCCAAGCTAATGTGAAAGGTGATGAGCAAAATTATCATATGAATAAAACACATTTATTTCACACTCATTCACCTCCTTGTTGATATTCAATAACTATTACTTGTCAGCCATAAACATATGGTCTTGTCCTTTCTGATTATAGATGTTTTGGGCTTCCTGCCTTTAAAATGAATTTCACAAATGAAGACATATTTTTTTCTAAGTGATCCGGAGGATATAGAGTTTGATGAAAAAGAGCAGCTTTACAAGATCAATTTAACTCTCACAGGTTTTTCTCGGCTGACTGGAAGAGGGCAGCTAACCAGCCACAGCAAACAGTGTCTTTTGCTGCTTCCCACAGGTAAAAGTGATTAATTACTAGAATTGTACACCCTTTTGGTTCAAAATTATATGGCAACAGGAAATGTAAATAGGATGCTGAAAATTGCCATTTATAAAGGTATACATTGTCTTTATACAATGACTTTAACCAATTTACAGTGACTTTAAGCGGTTTTCTTTAACTTCTTTTTCTTTATAGGAGGTCTCTGTTCTTTCTTAAACGTTTAATGTAATTTTTTTTCCCTTAGATACCCGACAATACAAAGCAATTGCGGAGTTACTGTTAAAATTTATTGCTAATTTTGTTTTTTTTAGGCTCACAGCAGAGTTGCTACGACTCCTTTGTGCAGAGTCACGAGTCAAAGAGCAAGTAAAAATTTGTGAAGGAGTTCCAGTCTTGCTCAGTTTAATCCATTCTGATCATATCAAACTTCTATGGAGTATAGTTTGGATTCTGGTACGGGTTTGTGAAGATCCTGAGACTAGTGTGGAAATTCAGATTTGGGGTGGAATCAAGCAGCTCCTTCATATATTACAGGGATAGGTTTTCAGTCCTCAATTTCATGACAATTGTATGAGACTGTTTGATATTTTAAGATATATTTGACCAAGCCCTGTTTCATTAAATAGCATCTTTGGTTTGTTCGGCTCTGCGTGATGCCTGCAGAATTTAAAGGGCTTTTTAGAACATAATGAGTGAGCAATATTTTTTTCAGCTTTTCATGTTTCATTGTCATCCTTCAGGAGTTTTTCATATTTCTGGTGTATAAACTAAATAACGAATAAATCATAAATATGTCATTACTGTCTACTTAGTTTCTCAATTAATCAGACACCTAATTAGTGAGCTAGAATTGTAAATATAATTGATGAACGTGGTAAAGAAGTTTTCTGCTTAAAGACTTGTTTGCTTTTTCAAAGTGTATTACATAATTTAGTGAAAAACCTACAAATTTTCAGAACTTCAGAAATGGTTAACAAAGACATATTAAGACATTTATAGTTTGATTTTTGTTTTGTTTTTAATTCCAGGGAAAGAAATCTTGTTTCTGATCACTCTTCAGTTAGAAGTTTATCTAGTGCAAATGCATCAGGGAGGATCCAGGATCTTCATTTGTCAGATGATCTGAGTCCTGAGGAGATGCAAGAAATTACTTTCTCACTTCAAGTGGGTAGGTTTATAAGGTCTCTGTTATGTCTTTACGTACACTTATGCAAAAGGATTCAAAATATTTCAAAATTGTAAATTTTATACCTGCTTTGGGGAGTAGGAGCACCAAGTCCGATGTGTTTATTTTCATATGTGCAATACCAGCACTTATTTTCAAAAGTATACTTTTGTTAGAAAGAAGCAAAGCACAAAGTATTATGTATATGGGAATTAGATGTATTTTTCACCTGTAAAAACATCTTATATATATAATTTTGGGTTTAGCCTGAGATTATTTTATTTGATCATGTTTTTCCCTGTATTCTAATTTGCTATGTTAGATCAATTATGAATTGATTATGATGGAACTCTGTGTCAAAGTGGTATTCTAAAGACTACCAGTCAGGTTAGGATTCTTCAGTAGTTATGGAGCAAATCCCTTTTAGAGGAGATTTCTCAGTAGCAAGTCAACTTCCCATTCTGAAAGCCTTCTGGAGGATCATGTCTTTTTCCAATCACTATAGAAGGGCAATGCAAAACATCCTTACTAGAATTACATAAGTCTTTGCAGTATCTTCCTGAAAGCTGTAACATAGTACATAACTGGTTTTGAATACTTTATCATAGATGTTACCTCTGAAGAGTGAAATAAAGATGTGAAATAAATCTAGTATCCAATCTCCCTGTCTTTATCTTGACCTGTGCACTTTTCCATCCTTTTTTCTCCCTTTGTCCCATTAAAGAGGGGGAGTGAATGAGCAACTAGATGAGCATTTGGCCCTTTGCTAAGGTTAATCCACCACATTATCCAAGTATTTTTATGAATCTGGCCCTAAATGTTACATCTGACTTTTTATTCTAGCTTGTTGTACTGCAATTACTGAGCTGGTGCTCAATGAGACTAACACTTACCAGGTTGTACAGGTAGGAAGGAAGATTTTATTCAGTGAAGTAAGGTATTATAGTCTATAATTTCAATTAATTGCTGTTGTTCGCTATCATAATTTAAGAGATTGCAAAATATGCCTCTCTATAAGTTTAGTATTTCTGTTTCTTTATAGAGTTACACACAGAGGCATAGACACAAAGGTATCAACATAAGTGTCTAGTCTGGAAGAATAAACAGTATTATTCAGACAAGGTTCATTTTGGTTGGCATCTCTTGCTGTGCTTTTGTCATATTCAAAACAAGATAGTAAATAAGAGTCATCAGAGAATCAACTGAGAAATGCAAATTCTGAATTAGATGAAGTTTATTAAAGCAAAAATATGCAGCTTAAAACCGACATGTTGCTTCACATCAATTTGTCTTTTCTTAAGAGTATGTATTTCTGAGATAACTTCCTGACATTCCATCTCCAGTGATAAAACATTCTTAAAATCCCTGATTGTATTCCAGACCTAGTCAAAGATAAAAATAATTAGAACATTAATACCAGCTAAAACCTGTAGACAGCTCTTACATTCTGAATGTTAACTCAGTGATCAAAGCCTTCAACTTAGCCTAAAATCCAACTAGAAATATTCCTCAAGGAACTGAGGATCCTTAAATATGACCAGGATATAAGTTGGGTATATTTCAAAACTATTGGTTAACAGGAAAAGAATGAAAGTAAGTCTAGAAAAAATATTTTCTATGATTCTTAAACACTAAAATCATCAGTAAAAATTTAGGCAACTTTTTATCTGAACAGTGTAACTGCATATACTTTAGGCTGTCTGAATTAATAAAAATAAAATATCACTTGCTTAAATTAAATGATTTTAACATAGAGTTTTTGTGTGTTGCTCTAGCAATGTATGGTAACTGTAGTCAGTAAATTTCTTAAAAATTGATAGTACAATGCACAGGCTGGGCTAAAAACTTAACTTCTCCTACTCATTCTGTTAAGACACTGACTTCTCCATTTGTCAAAACACCAGGCCAACATTCCCCTTTCAGTTCAGGACATATCTTCAAGCATGTTCACTTCCATTGGAGTTCCACCTTAGAACAGCCACGGTGATTTTAAATCCTTCTCCTTTCTCTGTGCTGATACAACTTTGAGAGTTGCTTGGGTTACAATGTGAAGGAACTCACTTGGGTTAAAAACAGAGGAAGAAGATTTGCAGCTCATTCAGTTACGTGCTGAGGAAGTCAATCTAAGTGACCTCTAAAGGTTTATATCATTTGGTGTCAAAGGACTCTTGGTTCAGGCATTTGGGAACCTTTTGCTTCTGCTGTAATTGCCCTCTACCTGTCTGTCTTGTGTCCTTGTCTCAACTTACATCCTTGGTAGCAGTCTGCAGTAATTTGGTAGCAGATAGAATGTGCTTATGATTCAATGGCTCTGTTACACCATCTAAAACCTTAGCTTAACTCTACCTTCATGAACAGTCAAAGAAAACATGAAGAAAACTGCAGCAGAGCTGAACACATATTTCCTTCAACTCTGCTAGAGAGGAGAGGAGTTTTCAACAGGGAGCTTATCAAGTAATTGGGAACAGTACTCATAACTAAATTTACCAATACCATCTATCAGACCAACACATTAACAAAGCACACCTGGCTGTTTGAAAATGGAACCTGAAATCAGTATGGTTTTCACAAAATCCTGCTGAAGGCACAGACTCCTCAGGGTATCATTTTTGGTGTTTCTCCAGTTTAATTTATTGAGACTGGATTTTTTGTTCCTGACAATTCAGAATATCCACATGATGACAGGAGATATGTTGCTGCAATTTCCTTCACCTCCAGAGATAGAAACATTGCTTCATTATGTGTTCAAAAGCTCTCTTTGCGGTATCAGTTTAAATGGAACAGTGATTTAATTCTTATATAGATTTAAGTAATTTGAACTTAAATTTTAGGTGTGCAATAGGATGCCGAGAACTTGTCTATTGGTGTTAGCTTCTGATATACCTGAAGCAACACTGATTCTTATTGGTGGTTTCTGTACAAAGGAGCACTCTTAATATTGGCCTTTCTCTGTTTCCAGGCAAATTAAATGTATACAACAGCAAAGCTGATTTTACCCAACAAAGAAGGGAATGCTGAAAAAGCCACTTTATTACAGGTAGCTCCCTTTATTATGATGGGATACTGAAAGCCCCAAACAGTTCCTGAGAATTTTTTATGAATTAAAGTTTATTTTATAGTAAAAAAAAAAAAAAAAATCATACTTAAAGGAGACCCCCCCACCAAACAAACCCAGGAATAACAAATAGTCCATGAACTAAAAGTTAAATAGTGCTTCAATTTACGTTTTCTGTTCTGATTTACTTTGTTTCTAGTACGTTATATAGTGTAAAGGAAAGTGGATATATCTTGTGATAGTCTTTCCTCCAGTTTTTCAGGTTGCCCAGCATCAGATCTTCTTTATAGTGCCTTAATCTTCACTGAAACTCACTGTAAATTTGACACTGTACTAATATCTGTTTATTTCTGGAGCATCCTACTGCAGCTGTTACATGAAATACAGGAAAACAATCACATGAAGTAGAGAAAATGTAAGTGTAGGATAAATATTGACCCACTAAGCATAGAATGGCTCTTGGTTTTGCATGTCATTACCTCCATAAAGGTACTGGTTTGAGTCAACTTAGGCTAAAGATTATCAGTAGTAATTAACTACCTGGTAACTTTTCTCAGGCTCTGTGAAATGGTGGGTGTCTCTCCAAGCCATAGGAAAGTAGTGGGCTGGGGTTCAGGGATGAACACAGCGGCTGCTGCTCTGGTTGCCCTTCTCTGGGCAAGTGTGAGAAAGTCCTTAGCACAGGTGGATGCAGTCAGGATCCTCCCTCTCACCTGGGCTTTGTTCTGGTGTAGCCCTACCCTAACGTGGTTACATAGCTACTCAACTGTCTGATCAGATAGGCATGCTTGAATAGCAAGGGAAGGCATTTCCACAAGAAAGAATTTAATTCTAATGTCATCTTTCTAATTGTAGTTCTTCTGGATTAGGGCTGGGGAGCTGGTTGAGTGCAGTAGGTGTTTTATGATGCACTTCAGTTAAATCATCTTAAGGATGAGATAAATAAAAGTCTTCCTAAAGGGTATATGAAACTAACATTGAGTCTAACAAACTGGAGCATGTGCACATACAGTTGCTGCACAGAACCATAAGGAGCTTAATTTATGCCCACTGAGATTTTTAGATTCCAGCAGAATGTGTTGGAAATAACTCTCAAGAGCTATGAAGCAACTGTAGCTGGGTTAAACATGAAGCCAGTGTGAATTAATAATGGACTTCATGATCACATATGAAAGCTAAATCTGTTTTGGGTAAGAAGTATATTTTTATGAAACCTTATTCATATTCTCACACGGCCATCTGTATTGCCTTTATCATTGTTACTGCTATTAAATACAGTGGCAGCTATTGGAATACCCTTTTTGAATTTATTAGGTCTTTTTCTTAGAGTTCTTCAAATGCTGGTCTGGTTTCTTTACTGCCCCACTGTCTATGTTTTCAGTGATTCAATTTTCAACTTCTTTCTGCCATCCTACCTTAGCGATCTTACTCCAAGACTATCTTTGTTTGCTCAGCCCAACTGAAGATGAGTTGCATAAAAGCATACATATTAGCTACCTGCCAGTGGTTGTTTTAAAAAATAACCTTCCTTTAGGAAACAGCATATTGGAACAAAGGTACATAAATATAGAAGTGGAGGTACATAAAGATCCCTGTAAATATGATGAATTTAGGATGAATTAAAAAGTTGAGTGTTCTCTCTTTCTCACTCCTTTTTTTTTTTTTTTGTCCCCTGTTAGAGTGTTCTACACTGGTTTTTTTTCAGAAAAAATGCAGAATGCTTTTTCTACCTAAACATTACAAACCCACTGATTACATTTACCTTTTTCAGCATTGGAGAAGAGATCACGTCTCAAGTCTTGAGCTATCTGCAAATATGAAGAGGTGATTGAGATTTAGATGCTCCTCAGCATGTGCTACTGTCACCACCTTTTTTTTTTTTATTATTTTTTTTCCACCTAAATATCCCAGCATACTTTTAAAATACAGCAGGAGCTTAATATATTTTTATTCCCTTTCTTGTCAGGTAAATAAGATAATCTATCTAGTCATTTAAATACAAAGTATACCAGTGTGTAAAGTCAAGGAGAATCCTTGTTGTTTATCAGTGGCTTTTCCATTTGTGTATAAATTTCTTATTAATTTAAGTACTTTTCCTGTTGCAGTGTTATGCTGTCAGAGCCCTGAGATTTCTCTTCAGTATGGAAAGATATCAGCATGTTTTCAAAAGGTACGTTAACCAAATGTTTTGTGAAACTCCTTTGGGATAGTTTTCAGAAGTCCAATCAGAAAGACCTGTTTTTTAAATGGAATTTATTATCAACAGGAAGAAATAGTAATGGGCAATTTCTGTGCTGTCCACAGCTACAGATAGCCAGCCCTGCACTGCATCAGTGCCAGCTTACTGTGGGGGCTTGTATTGTGTGCATGCCAGACAACGTGGCTCTGCAGGGCTCCATCTTCCCCTGTCAATCAACGCTTTAAATATGTTGAGGACAGATTCATTACTGTTGGAGATCAAACATACTTCTACCCTGAAGATCAGCAGATGCAAGTTTCAGCCCTCAATAGCAGCAATTAACTGGGAGCAGTAAAATTTTTTCCTGAGCCCTCAATTCCTTCACGTGGGAGTGACTTTGCATCAAGCTGTTTTACTTAGGAGTGTTGTTGAAAGGTTTCAATCAATAAGGACAAAATATTTTGCATCAATTACCCATTTTTACTACTAAGATGGCAGTTTCATCAGGTTAGCTACAAAGGCCAAGTGCAATGTAACAGCATGATTTGTGGTATTAGAGTAGTAGTCATAGTGCTTAGGAGCTCTGCCTCTCAGTAGTGTTTATAGTATGTTTTTAGTATGTATCATAAATTACTAAAATTCAAATATAACTTTTGCGTTGTATTTTTATTTTTTTAAACTAGATTTTGTACTGAAAGTGCCCTAGTTTGTAGTGAATTGTCATGGTTGGCAGATTTTTGAAGAATCTGGCCTAATTTGCCCTCTTGATTTTTCCAAGTGCCTTAAGCTCCTGCATTTCTAGTTCTGCCAGAACATTAAAAAAAACCCAACTAGTTCAGCATGTAACTAATAAATAACTGTTGCCTACTATCTGTTACCTTTTGCTTTTCCCAGTCCTTTTCATCTTTTAGACTAGACTTTTTTGACAAAAATTCGAATATCTGTCACTTAATGCATTACAAGAAGAAACTCAGATACTGTGACAACAAGCCTAACAGAAAGTACTGTAAGAAAAAAAAATACAAGAATTAGTGGAAATGCAGAGGAGGCTGAAGAAAAGTCCTTTAACTCCTATGTCTGTAATGTTAGAGGGTTAATATCTCAATAGATTAGTAAAAAGTAAGTGTATTTTTTAGGAGGTTCTGAAGTAAGTTGTAATAATAAATACTGAAAAGCCTCTGCTGTAGATTAGTAGCTACTGTGTACACTGTTTCTAAAATATATAAAAAAATTACACCTTTGTAGACTTCCCAACTGACTTATTTGAAATCTTTATTGATATTGGACATTATGGGTGTGATATCAGAGCTTATGAAGGGTTGATATCAAAGCTAAATTTGTTAAAGGTAACTAAAAACTTTAAACCTTCATAGCCTTAAAAAGTTTTATGCTTGCACATCTTTAGCACAAAAAAAGGCATGAAATATTTTACATTTATTTATTTATCATTTAATTTATGACTAGGGGCACGTATTGAAGCAAATTGCTGAAAGTATTGAGAGTATGAATCAGAATAAGGCACCCACAAAGCACATAGGAAATTATGCAATTTTAGAGCACCTTGGCAGTGGAGCTTTTGGAAATGTATATAAGGTAAGCTTCCCTTTTGCTATTATTTTACGGATTTAAGGGGAGTTTTCATGGAGAGGGTCTAATACCTGTTTTAGGCAGAACTGTCCTTTGAATTTCAATAGGGGAATGTAGGTGCAAAAAGGCCTTTTAGGGTCTGGGCTTGTTAGCGTTTACTGTGATTTTGTTTGTTCCATTTTGTATTTATAAGGTTGACCAGTGTATCTCTTAGGTTTTCTACTTTTACTTTCTTTTAGTTCATTTCCACACAAGGCATTTCTATCTATTACAAAGGCTAATAAATCTGCGTAAACCCACAGAAATTCAAGCATGTTTTGTCTGAAAAGCAGCACTGAACACAGGTACTGTCACTTCAAACACTGTGCAAGTTCAGCAGTATACTGCTAACCTGTATTGTGGGACTCCATTTCTTTTATTAATCACTTCACACACAGAAAAACCTGTGATTGTAATGTTTATAGAAAGGCTTGGACTCTGAAAACTAATCCAGTAGCCACAATAGCATTCTTTCTATGCCCATCCTATATTAATTGTACAAAGATTTTATCTTATTTATAGGTTAGAAAGCATAATGGACAAAATCTCCTAGCAATGAAAGAAGTCAATTTACACAATCCAGCATTTGGAAAGGACAAAAAAGACAGAGACAGCAGTGTAAAAAACATTATCTCTGAATTAACCATCATCAAAGAGCAGGTATGTCTCATGAACTCTAATATGATGTGTGGACATTCTTGTGTGGAGAACTGCCTGGTGGAAAAGGACCGGGGGATGCTGGTTGACAGCTGCCTGAACATGAGCCAGCAGTGTGCCCAGGTGGCCAAGGGGGTCAATGACATCCTGGCTTGTATCAGAAACAGTGTGGCCAACAGGTCCAGGGAAGTGATTGTCCCTCTGTACGTGGCACTGTTGAGGCTGCACCTTGAATCCTGTTTCCAGTTTTGGGCCCCTCACTACGAGAAAGACATTGAGGTGCTGGAGTGCAATCACAGAAGGGCAATGTCACTGGTGAAATGTATAGAGAGTAAGTCATGTGAGGAGCAGCTGAGGGACCTGGGGTTGTTTAGCCTGGAGAAAAGGAGTCACAGGGGTGACCTTGTCACTCTCTATAACTAACTGAAAGGAGGTTGTAGCAAAATGGGGGGTCGACCCAGGGAACTAGTGATAGGACAGTAGGAAATGGCCTTGAGTTGTGCCAGGGAGGTGTAAATTGGATATTAGGAAAAAGGTTTTCACCAAAAGGGTAGTCAGGCATCGGAACAGGCTGTCTAGGGAAGTGGTGGAGTCACCATCCCTGGAGATAATTAATAGTTGTGTAGATGTGGCACTTGGACCTGGTTTAGTGATGAACTTGGCAGTTGCTGGGCTAACAGTTGGATGCAATGATCTTGAAGGTCTTTTCCAAAAGAAATGATTCTACATAGCAGGGCTGCGAGCTGCTTTTACTTTTTTTGTTCCATCAGTACAAGATTGGCGCCCTTTACCTGAATTCTGTCAATAATGAAAACCTGCTTACTGTAGTGTTAACAGCAGTGCAAATGCTTGTTACTAAAAGTTCTTACTTTATATGTTGGCAGTATTTGAACTTTTTTCAGAGATTCTGTAAATTAAGATTGTGATAAAAAAACTGCTGAGTCAAGTCTTGGTTTTAAAATACAGTGAGAAGATATTTTTTTTCTTGTAACTGAAAACTAAAAAACCAGACTAATCATTAGTGCTCCTAAGCTAAGAAAGGCAAAACTTTGATGCAGGTATAATTACTTGCCTTCAAACTTCGTTTACTCTCTTTCAGTTATTAAGGGGAGAGGGGATAGGAATCATACTGTATTTTCCTTCTGGTTGCTCTAGTAATGTGCAACATTTCTCTGTGTTTGGGGTAGCAGTGAAGGTCTACTGCACTGCAGTTCACAAACAACTTTGTGGAATCCTTGTGATATCCTTCCTTCCAGTGTGTAGCTAAACATTATAAATACTATGCCATCTGTTAAACTGTTCTAAGCATTTACATTTCTTTCCTTACTGTAGCTTTATCATCCAAATGTTGTATGGTATTATTGAACCTTCTTGGAAAGTAAGTATAGGTGCAGAGATTTACCACATTTTACATAATGAAGAAATAGAAATATGTAATAAAACCACTTACAGCTTGTCAGGAGTCAAATTTGAGCAATAATCTTTCTTCAAGAACTGCTACAGTTCAGACAGGCTTATATTCCTTTAAAACTGGAAGAACGGTTAGAAATTACATTTGTTTATCTATCAGTAAAACTAGATGCAATGTAAACATGTGGCAAGCATCATTCTTCTCCTAAAAAGGTACAAAATTTAGAACTGAAATGCTAAATAGGGAGAAAAGCTATAGTGAATAGTAGGATGAAAGATACAGATTGCCCAGCCACATTGTCTTAATAACTTTTTTATGAAAAGTTATCTACATACACCTGCCCCCTGAGTGATTATCAGACAGTGGTTTCCTGATAGTTGCTATGACGTAAGTTGAGGAAAAAATGGAATACCAAGGAGTAGGACTATGATTAAAATTAAATTTTTAAAAAGTAAAAACTAACAGCTTCTAAAATATATTTTTACCTCAAATACTCTATTTTCAAATGCCTTCTGTATACATATAATGTTCTATTAATATTCTTTTATATAGATGACAGATTGTACATAGTCGTGGAGCTCATAGAGGGGGTGCTATTGGGAGAACACTTTCACCCTTTGAAGGAAAAACAACAATAGTTTACAGAAGCCAGAATATGGCCTATATTTATCCAAGTAAGGGCCTCCATTCTTTTTTGCCAGAACTTTCCTGCATGTAATTAGAATCACAGAATCATAGAATTAACTGGGTTGGAAGAGGTCTTCAAGATCATCAAGTCCAACCCTTGATCCAACCCCACTGTGATTTCTAGATCATGGCACTCAGTGCCACATCCAGCCTCATCTTAAAAACCTCCAGGAACGGTGAATCCACCACCTCTCTGGGCAGGCCATTGCAATGCCTGATCAATAAATAGAAACATTTAAAAATAGCATTTACATTACATGAACTGTTACTGTTCCCTTTAAATGTAATGTAATTATTTAACAATTTTCTTTGTGTTTTTTTTGTTTTTTTTTTTTTCCCTTTTTTCATTTGACTGAATTCCAAGAAGACAGTTTAAAGAAAGGAAATCGTAGTGTACAGCAATATGAATAATGGTATCCAAACTGTCATAACAAAGGCTCAGGTCAGTGGCAAAGGAAGTGAGGTCTGCATTAGCAGTTTGACCAATACTGTGTAATGACCGGTGTTCTTAGATAATAGTGTAGCTTGTGCCTTAGTTTGACTTTGTGCTCTTTTAGAAAATAACCCGTGTTCTCCCTCCGATCAGACTGAGATACAGTGAAACTACAGCAGATGGTTTCCCAAAACTTTTTACATTATTTAAAAAAGTAAAAAGCACGTATCTGCATGTTAGTTGTTGACTACTAAGTAGCTCTTGCTGAATCAAAGAGGGAAGATATTTTGAGCATTTTAGGTAGCATCATCCACAACACATTACTTTTGTGCTAGTCCTCCCAGTACTATTTTAATATTTAAATATTTTTAATATTTACACTTAATGTTCACAGTCCTGCAACAGTTTCCAAAGACACAAAAATTTACTATAAGCCTCTTGAATATCTAACTCTTTAATGCTGGAAATCAGGGTTTTGTGGTGCTGCACACCTTGTATCTGGCTTCTACTTTGGGAGAGTTAAGTTTAGGTCAATATTACAAGAAGTGGATATATATATCTAGTAAAGTAGAAAGGAAACAAAACCAAAGGCCCACAAGTCTAATCACAGTATTTATTTAGTTGTGTAAATATTTTAATCAGTGCCAGAAAGACCATAACTCGGCAAACCAGTTTACAGTAATCTGTCTTTAGTTCCAGTATTCCTGGGCAGTAGTAGCATGTTACGCTTGGACTTTTCCCTATATGAACAGGAGAAGATCTGGTATTAAGTGCATAAATCCCTATTGATAATCCATGGTTAAGTGATTCGCTGCTCATTTTACACCTTCTCTGCTTTAAGATCACACATGGTATTAAAATAAAATGGCTAAGGATGTAGCTTGTATTTAGATATGTTTTGCCTTAAGGGATGCAAAAGAGCAGTGATAATTGCTGTGCATTGATTTTTTTTCATAGGGCTTAAGCCCTGTAAAAACTACGCCAATGTATTTCCATTCCAACAGTCAGAGGAAAATAAACAACCCTGCACTTTTTTTAGATGCCTTGGTTTCCTGGAATGGAGCTTAGTGCTACCGTGTACCTGGCTGCAGAGCCACCTCAGGAAGTCCCTCTTTTTTTCTTTTTCTTTTTTTTTTTTTTTTTCTCCCCCCTTTTTCTTTTCTCTTTTTTTTTCTTTTCTCTTTTTCTAATTTATTTAAAAATATGAATGTTTACATGAAGTGTAGGTCTTAATTTTGACCACTCCATTTAAATTCTCATCTAAAATGTATCACTTAAAATGCAGTTGCATGTTTAAATTATATTCTAGACAACTCATTCTTACTATTTTCATATGTATTACAGTGACATGTTTCTCATTCTGTTTACATATGCCCAAGTTAATGACAATTTCTTCCTAGCTTAATTTTGCAGTTATAATATTTTTACAGTTGTTCTGTGAAATGTTCGAAATTGCCAAGGTTGTCATCATAAAACCTTTTAGGGAAGAATTTGGTGCCCTAATGGTGTTTTTTTCCAACCAAGTATCTTGGCCATTTTTTTCACATTTAATGAAAGTTATTCCATAAGTTATCATTTGCTTCATTCACTTTCATCTCTGTCTTTATATGGTAACTTCCTAAAGGCAGGTTCAACAGGCTGTAAAATATATCTGTAACAAATAGTTGTCACATCACAGAGCCTGCACCATTCTGAAGGGTTTGTCTTGTACGTATGTTCTGTAAATCATAAGGTAAATGGTTCATGACTTTCAGTTCATAAATTTAGTCTGTCAGATGAACACCACAGCGAGCTTAGTTTTCTTTTTGCTTTCTTATGATTAGTAATGTTTTAATTACTCATCTAGGACAAAATTATCAAGTACAGTACAAACGTGTGAAATATTTTCTTTATACAAACAGTAATTTATTTTATGGCAAATTTTAAGACTATAGAGGCACACAGCTTTGAGTCAGCATAAATGTAGTGCTATAAATAAAGCAAATTGCTCAGTATGTTTAAGTCGATTTTATTTTATAATGTTTTTAGTGAAAACCTCTAGAACTTTGTAGTTGGCGTTGAAGTTAACCTAAAGACACTTTCATATTGAATTTAGTATCTGTTGACATTTATTTGGAATAATGAATAAGTTTGAAAATTGATACTTTTCTAAATTATTTTATTGGAAAGACACATCATTTATAGTATTTTCTTTTCTATTGTTGCTGATGCTCCTGTGCAAAAGTGTCTTCCAGGTTCGGCTTCTGTGGCTGAACTGAGGTTTTGATTTTAATACTCTTTATTTGAAATGTGATTACATTCTGTACGGTTTGAATTTTTTACAACTGCTTTTCTAATTACAGTGACATTTTCTTACTTTATAACCAAATCCAAAGCAAATGAAAACATTATTTCAACTGTAGAATCAACATTCAGTTTATACAGAAAACACAACTCTCAGACTTGTCTTTAATGTGAAAGATTGAGCCTTTGTGTTGTTTTAATTACTGCTAGAATAAAATTATCTTTTGTAACATTTCAGAAAGTTGGTAAAAGCAATAAAAATAATCTCCTGGACTCTATTCGTGCCGTTTGTGTTTTTATTGCCGGGATCTGAGCCCGCCGGGCGGGCTCGGCCGGGCGTCCCCGTGCCCATGGCAACGGCCCCGGGCGGAAGTGGTCGCCAGGACCCCTCGGCACTGCGGAGCACGGCGGCTCGCCATAGGCCGGCGGGCCGGCTCGCTGCAAGAAGAAGGGAGGCGATTGGCCGCGACGTCTCGGCCGGGCGGAGGGAGCGTCGCCGTCGTCGTGAGTGGGCAGGGGCGGGTGGAGCGCGCGGCGCGCTGAGGGCCCGCAGGGGAGGGAGCGGGAGGGGAGGGGCAAGGAAAGCCAGTGTCCCAAATATCCCCATCCCTGTCCCATTCCACTCGATCACGTCTTCCCCAGCCTTGCACTTTTACCAGTTCTCAGCCTTCAGGAGGCATTGGACAACCTCTCGTTATCCACAGAGGCTCCGAGTCATAGCGGTGTAATTCCCCGTGAAGGTCTGCCCGGTAGCAGGGGCGGAGAGGATGAACTTCACAGAGCTTCGTGTTATTCTTGAGTTGATACTGGGCTGCTCACTAGACCTCAGAAATCCTGGTGTTTTTTCTTGGTTTTTTTTTTTTGTTTGTTTCTTTTTTTGTTTTGTTTTGTTTTGTTTTTTTCCCTCCCCTCCGTTCTCCCCCCACCCCTTCCCTCTGTGAACTGCAGATTAACAGGGTGGATTTAGGCAGACTCTACAGAAGAAAGTTATTCTGTGGAAAATAGCCCAGAGACTGACATTGCGTGGGGTCAGGAATCTGAGAACAGGCCTGGCCATTTATGGCTCCAGTGGAACTGAGGTGGTGCAGAGGGAAAACAAAAAAAACCAATCAAACCCAAAACAGCAGAAGCTTGAATATTCTTATTTGTTAGGAAAGCAGGAGCATTACACTGGACTCTAGTTAATCTTTAGGGAATCCCCAAAGGAGTTACTAAATAAAATTTCAGATAAATGTGAAAGTTGTCATGTATAGGAAACACACAGATTTCCACATTGGTTCAGTCAAGAAAATGAAAGAAATACTCTTCAAACATTGTTCTTCAAACATTGGGTTCTTCAGTACCATTTCCTAGACGCAGGCTATGACTGGTGGGGATCTGTTTGTCTGACTGCTATGTTCTCTGAGAACAAGAGGTGAAGCCATCCAGAGTTCCCTTTGTTTCCATCAGACTAGAGAGGAAAAGTACCTTTTGGGAACTTTTCATCATCTTTGATGCTTCCTTTGCCATCATTTTGACCATATTTGGAATCAATTTCTATTTTGACAGTAAAATAATAATTGCTCTTTTAAGGACTGAATTTTTGTCTGACCTTCATCTGACCCAGTTTATGGTATTAGATACATTCCTGTCTAGCAACAGCATCAAAAGTCTTACTAAAGCCAAGATATATCTATTGCTTCTTTATCCACCTGAAGCCAATTTTCTTGTGTATGATAAGGTAGTGGAACCCAGCCACTGGAGTGATTAAGGAAGGAGTTCAAGGGTAAATCGAGCAACTAGTTGGCTTACAAACTGTCCATATCCAGTAGTTATTGCTAATAAAGATTGTAAAGAATGTGAGATGTCTTCTTTTTGAAAAGAATATTACGTTGTAGTTGTTGGTGGTAGATTTATCCTCCAACGTGTCTTTGTGGTTTTGTTTATTTTGGGGCTTGTTTTCACCTTCTGAAGCTTATGTGTTTAAGTCATCTGAGATGGATACTGGATTGGGCCACAGATCAAGTCTGCTGTTTCTCATCATGTGGATTCTTTCATTTCTGGCAGGGTTCTTGGAGCATTTCTTGTCCTATCCTGCATTCCAGTGCTATCAGAATGTATCTCTCTTCCTATGTAATTAAATGAGCATAACTAATTAGATGTAATTATCTCCAGTTAAAATGAATGAATTAATATTGCTCTCACTGTTTTAAATGGAATGAAATAAGACCGTAAAGACATTTTCCTTTTAATGTGTTTCTGTTCTTTTTAAGAGTTGCCTGATCCCATTTTTTTCTGGCACAACCTAAGTGGTTTGTTTCTTGCACATTACTCATGGCTGGCTTAATAACAGGGGGATAGTTATGAGGATAGTGAATAGCCTGGCTTCGTGGAAATTTCTGCTGGCATGAGTATAGAAGAAACAGAGTGAGAACTTATCCAGTGACTTCAAGAAAGTCGAATAACTGTGAGAATAGTTAAGGAATATTTAATGTCTGTTTTCTCTCAGATTTTTGGCTGACAGAAGGAAAAGAGGGGGGGTTATTTCCTTTTGTCTACCCCTCACGTAGGGTGTGTGCTAATATACCTACCTGATTTAATGAGCGGCTACTGAGGAAAGGGGCTTTCTGCCCTTCTCCCTCCATTTACACCTGTGCATTCCTGCCCAGTCAGCAGAGATACTCATCAGGCTACTGTAACTGTGAATTAAAAGGGTAGAAGAGTTACTATACTTAAAGGGAGGCATATTGTTTCCTTTCTCTAAATTGGCTCAGGTTGGGTCAGATCAGCTGAGGAAGAGGGCGGTGGCTGAGGCTGGGAAGGGGAAGGAGAGGGGAAAGGTATTTTCACTAGCAGCTGGCTGTTAATGAATTGGTTTAATCTCTGTAGCAAAGCTGAAGGGCACAGCACTTTAAGCTACATGGATAAATGCTTCTCCTTTCTGCATGTGCTCTCTGCCCTTGTGCAGCAGAAGTACTTGGGGACAAGCTGCCAGGTAATAGGAGAGTTTATTTGTAACCTGAATCAGGTTTCCCAGTCTAGTGAACTGTGCATCTATGGTGATGCTGTGCTGCTCTAGGAACTAGAGAGGTAAACCCCAGGGTGAGTCCTCAGGGCTGTATCCTTGAGTGAGCAGCATCCCTTCATTTCCAGGCAGCAGTGCAGGGAATTTGGCTTGATGTTTGTCAGGTTCATATTTTTATAGAATCATGGAATTAACTGGGTTGGAAGAGACCTCCAAGATCATCAAGTCCAACCCTTGATCCAACCCCACTGTGATTACTAGGTCATGGCACTCAGTGCCACATCCAGCCTCATCTTAAAATCCTCCAGGGACAGTGAATCTACCACCTCTCTGGGCATATATAGGGACTTTTGGATCTGTAATGGCAATGGACCTTAAAAATATTAGTCAGCTGTTACTCTGTTTCATCTCTAATAAGGTACAGCAAACAGCAGAAGTGTTGGAGTGGCAGCCCTAAAACAATGTTGGTCTACAGCTGCAAAATGTAAATAATCACAGACTTAACAATTTTGGATTAAATTCTAGACATACTGGGAATACTGCTGTTTATGGTTTAGAGGTTTAACCCAAGGATTATTTTCTTTCGCGGGATGCTGAAGATTTAACTCTATTTGCTCATGGACAAGTTCTTTGTGTGTGGTTTTGTTTGGTAGTTCTTTAACTGGTTGAAATCTGTTCTTTGTGCACACGTACTTGTGATCAAGTTGACAAATTTGTGAGCTTCACAGCCTTTCCTACTGTACAAATGTGAGGTGCTTATGGCATTGTGTTATGCCTCAGTAATGTCCCAAATACACCGGTGTACTGGGGAGATGATATAAGAATATCATTAAAACAATACGTGGAAATTCTTAAGTCATGAGGACTCTTAACCATGCTTAGCAGTGTACGTGGCTTCTCTTAACTTTTAATGCTCTTGAAGCAGAGGAAATAAATGCTTTGAGCTAGCTGCAGTTGATTTAATCTGAACTCAAGAATTTTGTCTGCTGACTGTTAGATCCTGTTTATATTCATTGCTTGGTAATAACTGGTGCCACAGAAGTGTTCTGAGGTGGTTTTTAATAGCCTTTTTGAATAGATGCATGTGAGAGAGAGAGAGAGATGTTCCTTGTGGATTCAGAGCAGTCATTCTCTGTGTGGGGACTAGTGGTAGGATAAAGGCTTCAAGGTTCAGAAGATCAGAAATGAATGAACTGGCCTTACAGGCTGCTTCCTAGAGTGATTTAATACAGTGCATGAGTTCATACTGTCAACAGTTTCAGTTTGGGTAGTTCTGTGATGCAAAATTGTATAGTTGGAAAAAGTATGTTAATCTGGGAAGGAGCAGCTTCTGGTAGTTTACAATGCTCTTGTTTCCTGACTGGTTTTCTTTTTCTTTGCCTTTACGAGGAAGAAGAATAAAAATCAGTAGCAGAAGAATTCTACACTGCAGGAGGCTGTCATGTTTCATATGGAAAAAAGTATTAAAGAGACACCAAAGGCAACATCCAAACAGTCCATATTTAGCGAACAGTAAAATGGGTAGAGAGGAGTATTATAGAGAGTGGTATTATGTCCTCATTTTTTAAATTGGAAGTGCTCTACCAATGTTACAGCTGTATGCAATTCTCTAGGATAATTTTACAGACCCAGTCTATTCCTGACCATCATTTTTTTTTCTTCTCTCAGAGAAGGATCTGAATCAATGTAATTATTTTTGTGGCAGCAAGAGATTCCTCTTGAATATCCTCTTTCTGTCTCTGTCTCTTTATAAGATTTTTAGTGAACAAATGTATACTGTGCCAGCGACTAGCTGAGGGCTTTTGTGGGAAGTCAGACCTAGGGACAGTATGCTTAACTGCGGGAATTTAAGATGCAGTAATGGTCAATAGAGCTCTTCTTGTCTGTGGAAATAAGCTGTGTGTCCCACTGCAAGGAATGCGGACACTATTGGTATAAGGCATTCAGCTGAGATTCAGAAGACCTAGTTCTAAACTACTGATAATTTATGTTATTCTTTGGCAGGCTGATTGTAGATTCATGGAATGGTTTGGGTTGGAAGGGACCTTAAGATCATCTAGTTCCAAGTCTACATGTTGGTAGACCTGGTTGCTCACAGCCCCGTCCAACCTGGCCTTGAACACTTCCAGAGATGAAGCATCCACAGCTTCTCTGGGCAACCTGTTCTAGTGTCTCACCACCCTCACAGTAAAGAATTTCTTCCTAAGATCTAATCTAAACGTATTCTTTTTCAGTTTAAAGCTATTACCCTTTGTCTTATCATTACACCCCATTGTAAAAAGTCCCTCTCTCCTGCTCTCTTGTACTTTAGGTACTGAAAGGCTGCTCTAACGTCTCAAGCCTTCTCACCTGCAGGCTGAACAACTCCAACTCTCTCAGCCTGTCCTCACAGGACAAGTCTTCCAGCCCTCTGATACAAGAGCCCAGATTTGAGCTACAAGCTCATCAAAGGGGTTTTACTTTAAAAATATACAAGGCTCCAAAGATCCACTTGCTGGATCTATTAAAAGGGCTTTCAGTTCTTTTAATACCTTGAGAGAAGACACTGCAGACGTTTCTCAGGCGGTCAAACAACAGACTTTTAATGGCAAACTTTAGACAATAAGGGAACTTGGCAAAAATTTGAAGGGCATCATTCAACCAAAATAGAGCATTCTACAAAGCCTTGACTTAGCACATGCAAACTCATACAACTTAGCAAAATCCAACCCATCTGGCTTTCAGTTAATCTCCTTTCTTGATACTTCAGTAAGAGAAGAAGTAGTGAAAAAAGAGAGTGAAGAAAAGAGAGAATTATAGCCACTACCCCATATCCAGCATAGATCCAGCTACTGGCAGTCCAGGAGATGGCAGGGCTGCGATCATGTGATGGCCACATGGTGTTGGTTTTATCTGCTCAGGCCCCCTGCGGCCAGCCCTGGCGGGCGGGACTTCTGGTGTGCCAGCCATTCGGGGCTGGTTTAAGGGTTCCAGGGAGTGTGGTATTGGGCAGTTGCTCCAGGGCTGCCCAAGGAGGCTCGAAGGGGCTGGGATGTGGAATGGAACACCAGTTCACCTTTGTGAAATTTGACCTTTCCCTTCCACCCCCCCCGCCACGTTTGAGTTGGTCTGAGCCAATAATAATATAATAATCCAGTGTCTCACACTCTGATCATCATCATAGGCCCCCTGTGCACTCACTCCAACTGGCCCGTGTTGTTCTTCTGCTGGGAACGCCAGTACTGGATGCAGTACCCCAGGTGGGGTTTCCTGGGAGCGGAGTAGAGGGGGAGAATCACCTCTCTCGACTTGCTGTATGCATCTCATTTATTTGTCAGATACCTCCTTTTTCTACCCTTTGTTCAACTTGTTTATTTGGATGACAAAACTGTTATATTCTCTGTTGTCTGGACAACAGCTTGTTTTTGACAACCTTGCCGTTAGCCTGTAAGCACTGCTGCAACATAAATAGCCAATCCATGGTGAGAAATAATAAGATAAAAAATCTTAATAAAAATACATGCGATAGCAAGACGCCAGTATTATCTACCCAGGTATTAATATGTGGAATTCTAAAGGATATCCTGATATAATGCCCAAGGTTTCATGCTGAGAAAATGGTAGAGCTGGTTTTTTTTTCTTAAAGTTCTATCTGTTGGTTCTGTAAGTAAACATGTGTTTCTTTTGCTGTAATGATATAATTATTTTTATCTGCTTTATTTTTAAGGAAATGAGTTTTTAGCCACATAATGATAATAGTGATACACAATGCCTGATCAGGACAAAAAGTTGAGGAGCACAGAAAAAGCAACAGACAGAAAACCTCATGGGATCTCTATGAGGTATAGTATCTGATGTTTTACTTTGAACTTCAGCACGACTCATGTGGAATTTGCACTGGCTGCCAGAGCAGAATGCTTTAATTTGAAATGCAATATAAACATGACGACTGTTACTCTGGTCACAAAGTTTATTTACACCTTTGTTGATTTAAGGCATTCTGGCTAAGTTGTAAATTCACAAAATGGGGACACTAGGCAACACCAGAAACTTTATTTTCTGCCCGTAGCATTGTTGCTTGTTGACCTTCTTTACTCTTATGGAAATACTTTTATGTAACTACTAGCACATGTATTTATGCTATTGTGTTTTTTCCTAGGGATTACTCTGACCTGAAAAGACTTCAGTCTCTCTTGAATGTTCAGTCAAGGAACGAACAGGTATTTTTCAATAACTGCTACTAAACATGTTTTAGAATTATAATAAATGGTGATTATGGTTTGTGGCATATACTTAGAACATCGTGTTCTATTATGATTAATTTTTTTTCCCCAACGTTAGACCTACTGTGTGGGACAAGTCTCATTCAGAGTGGGTAAAAGAATGAAAGTGCTCCTCTTCCCATCTTACTATGCCATATTTTTATTATTTTAATGGGAAAAAATTGCTTTGTTTTGTATCTGGAGCAGGTTTTATGCAGCTATTGTTGCATATAGTCAAGTGGTCTTAACAGATTTGTTCTCCTCAATGCCCTTCCACAATGTCACAAGAAGGTAGGCTTAGAGATGTGTGTTACAACAAAGGGGAGAGTGTTAAAGAATATAAAATAAGATAAGCATTTTAACCATAAACAGTTTGTCTTTGGAGAATAACACTTCAGCTAAAAATATTCAGGGCATAAATATCAATGCATGAAACTTACAGGACACTAAAATCTCCTTCCCCTCAACTCACTTAGTGAAGCTTGTATTTGCCATTTGAAGCAAAGAAAATCAACATGTGATGATGGGTGTGAGTCTTCAGAATGCCAGAACATTTTCTCCCTTTCTATTCTGTAAAAAGATATGACAAAATGACTTAGGGATTCATCCATGTGAGGTAGGAGTTGTGCACTTTATAACTAGTTAGAGGCCTGGAATTGCTTCTGAGCCAAAAGCTGAGACTTCTATGAATTCTGCTACCTAAAAAAAATATGTGAAGGCTGTGCAATTGTAGAATTTGGACAGGTAAGGAGCATTGATAATGAGCGTGTGTTGCATATTGAGTTTTGCTATTATCAATTTTAAAAGACACCATTCTTCACATTTTGTTTATCTCTATGCACTTGTTTTCCAGTATAGCTCTGCATCAGTTTTCTACCACCTTGGTTTTGTTTTTCAGGCGTTGTGTGTATTTTATAATGGGAAGTTATAGCTCAGAAGTTCAAGTCAGAACTTGAGAAAAGGTACTTTTGCTTGATAATATTCTCATAAAACTTAAAATGCAGTGTTTGCCTAATGACTACTATCCCTTTCCTCCTTAGCTTCCAGCTATATATTTTGGAAGTGTTCATACCAGTGTGACAAGAGATTGTCAAAAAGTGAAAAGCAATGGACAAAACCCCAGTGGTCAATGGTAAGAATCAACAGGTAAGAATCAATCAAGCTTGAAAAATTTAGGTAAAAATAAAAAAAAGTGAATATGATGACACTGTTGTTTCTCCAGGTATCTTTGTATCCTTGTATCTAAAGCTTGCTGAGGTGTTGAAGGCATTTATATTCGTACTTATGCCTGTACTTAAATACTTTGATATTAACCTAGTATTTGAGATATGAATCATATATTTTTAACTTTCTAAACCTAACTGTGAATGTTTCTGCCCTTGTAAGTTTCAAACACTTACTCCCACTCAACAGAGTAGTGTTGGGAGTTAATATACTAATTTTAAATAGTGATAATTTCTTTATTTGGAAAACTTACACCATTATAATACTCACAAAGTATGCATGAGACAGACTGTTCTTCCATACTGTTAATGTCTGGCAATCTGAAATTGTGCTATTCCATGATAACTGCTGATATGGTATTTCTTAATTTTTCTTGCTCGTGTTATGTTTTGGCAATATAAAATTACCTTGTGGTTAAGTTAATTTGCAATTCAGCATTTTCTTTTTTTTTTTTTTTTTTTTAATCTCATTAGTGTGACCTACAAGAATGAGAAAAATTTGAGCAAACATCCCAAACATAGGCTATTTCAAGATATCTTTATGGCTTTAGTCAAGAACAGACTTACCCACAGGTCAGTATATCGAACACATTCATATCCAAGAAGGAGGTCCACTCCTGCTTCCCTTAAGGGAAGAATGAAGATGCATGGATAATATTTCATGTTGTTTCAACAATGTGTATGGCATGTATGTTTCAACAATACAATTCTGTGTGGAAACCACCTGCTGCACATCTCTTCATAACCTCAGTTTTAAACAACTGCTTCTGTATGGGCTTTGGGAAGCAAATGCTCAGGTAAGTGGGACAGATTAAGGAAGGACTCAGTATATGATGAAACTTGGATGACCAAAATTCTAACAGTTGCTATGTTTCCTCGATCATTTATCCATATCTAGTATCTGTAATCTACGATTTGCTTTCCTAATTTATTTTACCAATTTTATTTAGATTTTATGAACTGCTACCTTTATTGGCAGGCCAGTGGTTTTCATAAAATTCAGATGAGTTTGTGCCATTTGTTCATATTTATTTGTACTTGTGTGTATTATAGGATTAGAAAGGGAAATCCCTTTCTTACGCTACTTTCATTTAAGTGAGGAAAAAGTGCAAGACCTTAGTGGTGGCAGATAAAGATATTTTCTGGGAAAAAAAAATGCATTTTCCAGGATTTCTTTTACTACACTGTGCTGTGTTGTATTTTTGCTTTTTAAAGCCCAAACAAAAACCTTAAATGGTATAGAAGCTTAAAGGAGGAATCCTAGAGCATTTGAAAGTATTAATGTGTAACTGCTGGAATTTACAGAAGAACCTAAAAAAACCACACAGCTTGCTTAGACCTTTATTCAAAACTAGCTGGGGAACTAGGGAACATAATCATCGTTGATTATGAAAATGCCAGTGAATTTAAATCAGATAATATAAGTGATTTATAAATCTAGTGCCTCTTTTTTGCACCAGAACTCAGTGCTTACCAGTGGGAAGTCAGTGTTTCGGCTTCATTTACCAAACATTCTAAGAATAGCTTACACTGTCAGTTCCCAAGTTCTGTTTTTACATTGTGGTACGTTTGGCTTATATTTTGGTTTTCTTTGGTGATTCTTGTTGTTAATAACAAGATATAGCAAAATGAGCCTCTTGTATTAAAAATGAAAGCACCCAGGTAAGATTAACGAAACGAGCATATATTAGTAGGTATGCAAAACCCATATGTCTTCTCTTTGGAACTACTGCCACTTCTTTGTGTCAGAGCCATAGACTGTCTCCTTGATTTGCATTACATGCTTTGGCTGGCATTGCAATGTTGTTTGGGTGCAAGAAAAAAATCACCCCTCCTTACTGGCATCGCTGTGTGTGCAGAGCTCCTGGTTGCAGGTGGTTCTGTTGATGAGAAGGCTGTGATCAGCTTAGCATAAGTAGTTTGGATAAAGTGGATAACTAAGGTTGAAAAAATCCTGCTGGCGTAAGCTGGATATACACTGGTGTATCTAGTAGTGTGTACTGTAAACGTAACCATAGTAGAAGAGGCTCTCAAATGTTACCCAGGCTCAGAGAATGACTGTGCCCCATGGCAATATCTTCAGGTCACTTTAAATAAACCTGAACTGCACATTTTGCACGCAGGTATATGGTTGCTGTTTTTTTCTCCACAGAAGTTTTGTGCTGTTCTGCAGATGCCAATTATGGAATCATAATGAAAAAGAGGATTTCTTGGGGCAGAATACTGGCAGAGGGGCTGAGATTTTGTTAGCACTTATTTGTAAAACATTTATTTTTATCAAAGTATTTTTAGTTATTGGCATCATTCCCAACTGCAAATGATAAAATAGGAAGAGAACTGACATGTCCCATAAACTTCTGTTTCTTGGAAACTTATCCAGATTCTATCCTCTCAATTAAAACAACAACAAAAACACACAGCAAAGATGTCTAATTTTAGGTTTATTTTAAATAGAAAAATGGGGTTATATACCTTCAACAGACAATGGAAACTGTGATTCTGTTACTGCTATTTTATGCAGGATTACTGCCCCTGGGTGCTTTGTGCAAATCTGCAAATTTGATGGTGTTTCCTGCCAAGCCTTGTGCTGGAGAATTGTGTGGAGGAATATAAAGAAGGAAGTTCTATGTGGAAATATAATCCTATGTCAGGAACATTTGAACTGTAACTATTTTTAATTCTATAGCACCCATATTTTTATATATGTGTGTTTTGTGCACTGAAGTTTGCTGTGTAGTTTCTCTCTTATTTTTGCCCTTTTGGGCCTTGATCCAAACACTTAAAGTGTCCTTATATCAAAGCACTAAATTTGTTCTTAGAGGTAAGCAGGTACTTTCCTGCATCAGTTCAGTGATAATAAGTGATGGCTGGCAATGCTCATATAATGAAATAAATTTATTTATAGCTGCTACTAGGTTTGAATATAAGCAGTACTAGAAGTTCTATAGTGTAGTATGTTGAACAGTTGTTGTAGCTCACTAATCTTCTAGTCAACTGATTCCTGAATCAAACTGTTTTATTTGTTTAAACACTATTTTATTGCAGTTGGTTTATGTTTTGAATATTTCTTTTACAGGAAATGGATTATTCAAGCTCTATCCATCCATTTTCTTAGAGTATTGATCTGCCTGAGATTATTAATAAGGGTTCCATGCTATCAGGTCAGTATATGTCAAAATCTTGTTTCTTGCTTGGATAAGAGAATGCATATAAGCATCGTGCATATAAGCTGTGTTGGTGCTTGTGTACAAAGACATTTGTTCTTATGAATGCATACTTATTATATGTATGTGCCTTTATTTCTGTATGTGAAGATGTGATTTGCAAATAAACAGATTCCAAGAGTGATTTTGCACCATTACTGCATAATTTGCTTATTTTCTGGCATTTCTTACGTAGCGTCCATTGTTGCTAACCCTAACAAACAAACTGTAAATCTCCATAACAGATGCATGGGTCATTCCACTGAGCCCTAGGCTCTGTACTTGACTTTATCATATAAATATGTAAGGTTCCCATAACCTAGTAAGTGAAGAAAACTGAGAGCCACAGTTTTGGAACCTTTAAAATTTCACTTCCATGTTTTTATCTACTTACCTAAAGTAATTCTTAACTCTGAAAGTGCTAAGCATTTCAAGCATCCATTGACTTTGACCACTGGAGTCAGGGTTTCTCCACAAAGAAACAAAGTTTGTTTCCAAGATAAACAAAGCCTTCTAGTAGTCTCTTTTTCTGGTATTTTCCATATTTTGACTAATTTTTAATTTTTTTCA